AATTTGGTACTATATATGTATTATGGATTTTTAGAAAAAGAGCACAAGCATTGTATCAATTAAAATTAAAAAGAGAGGGACTAGCAGGTGGCGTGTTGGTTGAGGCACTAGACTCCCACATGGCTGACTACAGTTCAAGTCCTGGATCTGACAGCTTGCTTTCTCACTTTGTCTCTCTCTCTCTGGTGAGCTCATGAGCCCTATAGCAAGTTAATAAATATTAATAGTAAATAAAATTGGGCCAGTAGATGATGTGGTAGTTAAGGGCGCTGGACTCCCACATGGCCAACTGTGGATCGAGTCCCAGACCTGGTGGCTTGCTTTCTCACACTCTCTCTCACTCTGTCCCTCTCTGGTCAAATTTAAATAAATACATAAATAAAGTTAAATAAAATAATTATTAAAAAATAAATTAAATTAAATAACAGAGAGAGACAGAGAGATAGAAAGTGAGAAATCACCCCCCAGAGGGGATGGCCACGCCGCAATCCCTTCTCCTCCATTCTCCTCTCGGGATCTTGGGCACGCACGCACACGCGCCCGGCGTGAGTTTAAGCCACCAGGTCCGGGACTCGAACCACAGTCGACTATGTGGGAGTCCAGCGACATAGCCATTATGCTAACTGCTGGTCCCTATGTATTTATTTTAATTTGACTAGAGAGGGACAGAGAGAGAGAGAGTGGGGAAATGAGAAAGCAAGCTGCCGGGTCTGGGACTCGAACCACAGTTGGCCATGGGGGAGTCCAACACCCTTAACCACCACCATGCTGCTTGCTGGCCCCTAAACAATTATTTTTAAAAATTAATCATAGATTGCTTTTGCAGTCTTGCATGATAAAAGGCCTTAGAGGAATTCAGCAGGTATTTAACAAATACAGATTAAGCCACCATGCTTTCAGGAACTAGATCCCCATTTCACAGAGTGCAGAAGATGGAGTCTCAGCTAGGAGGGAGCTGGAAGGCAGAGCCTGCTCCTCGGCGGTGAGGACCACACTGCCTTCCTCCCTGCAGCGTGCAGTTGGAGGCACCAGATGCTCTGGCAGGATCCAGAGAGATGCCATCTGTGAGGGAAACCTATTCTTAGAGAGCAGAGACAGTCGTGGCAGAGCCAGCCAATCCCCAGCAGCAGGCGGGCACACTGGGAGAGGGGCAGCCCAGGCTCTACGCAGCTGGGGTGTAGGACAGGCTAAAGGCAGGACGCAGTCAGCTCTCAGGACCACACCACTTCCTTCGGTATCTGGACACTCAGCCGGCAATAACAGCAACGTTTATTGAGTCTTGCTTTACATGTGTTGCATCATTTAATCCTACACACCCCGAAAGAGGTATACTGTTGTAACATTTATTTTACAGATGAGGAAACAGAGGCACAGAATGGTTAATCACCTGCCCAAAGAAATAGTCAGGCCAGGGCTTGAGCCCAGACACCCTGGTTCCAAAGCCTATGTCCTTAAGCACCATGTTAGACTGCCTGTCAACCTGCTGTCTCAGAGGTCAATTTTAGTTTGGGTTTCCCCAAGAGCAGACCCTCATATGAGGATCTGAGTGCAAGTGGTTTATACAAGAAGTGGTCTCAGGAAACAGTGGAAGGGGAAAGAGGGAGGGAGACAAAGGAGGGTGTGTTATCAAGCAAGTTACCTCGTGGGCATCTGGAACTCTACCCTGTTGGCAGCTCTGAGAGCCAGTGCAGAGCAGGCACACCTGTTATTCCACTGAAGGGTAAGGGCTAAGGGCTGAGCGGAGTATAGCTCCAGGGCTGTGTTAGTCCCCCAGCACCTCAGGCCTGCTGCAGGGTGGCAATGCAGGCACCAGTAGCAAGTGGGAGTCCTCAGGGGTGGCCATGGGAAAGTTGGCCGGTGTGCACTGAAGCAGTAAGTTAGAAGGGATACAGGCAGAGCACCCCTATCTTCTGCTATAACCACTTAGTGTTATGGCCATCCTTTCCCCCTCCCCATAATCTCAAGGACTCATTCAACCTCCAGAGTGAGTGAAAGTATCTTCGAAATCACCTACTCTAAGCTTATAGTAAAGTGCCAAGGCTGGTCCAGCAAGTGGCATGGAAGTTAAGGCATTGGATCCTACATGCTGGACTTCATGGTTCAAGTCCCAAACCTGACAGGTTGAAAATCATGACAGGCACATGTGTGTGTGTGCCCAAAACCTTGAGAGGAGACTCTAGGAGAAGGGACTGCAATGTATCATTGCCCCCTGGGGGGGGAGGTGATTTCTCTTTCTCTCTATTTTCTTTCTGGCTGAGTGCACATGACCTACAGCAAAAACTTAAAGAAAAAGAAAAGCCGCAGCTCAGATGCCGCTTACAGAATCAGACAAAATCTCAGACATAATCCTACCTCCATCACCTAACAGTTCTGTGACTCATTTGATACCTGGGATAATAATGTTGGTCCCTATCATTCCCCACTATCTTGTTATTCAAGGTGTGGCTCAGACCAGCAGTAGCACCTGGGAGGCAGGCAGACTCCCTTAGGGCAGTCCTGCGGCCTAGAAGTTAAGAGTACCGGATCCCGGGGCCAGTGGGTGTCATGGTGGTTGGGCGCTGGACTCCCACATGGCCGACTGTGGTTTGAGTCCTGGACCTCGCGGCGCTCTCTCTCTCTCTCCCTCTCTCTCGGAGCACATGTACCCTGTTGCAAATTTTAAAAAATAATAGTAGTAATAAATAAAATTAAGTAAGTAATTAAAGAGGAAAAAAAAGAGTACCAAACCACACATAGCTGACTGCCTTTTGAATCTCAGCCCAGGCAGCTTGAAAAACATGCCAGGCATGTCTGCATGCCTCAAATCCCAACAGGAAGTAACTGCAGTGTGAGCGTGTCCCACTGGGGGGTGCTCTTGTCCTCCTGCTCTTGCTGTGGCTCTCTGGGAAGTACACACAGCCTCTGGCAAAAAAAAAAAAAAAAAAAAAAAAAAAAAGCAGACTCTCTGGTCCCACCCCAGACCCACTGAGTCAGAATCTGCATTTTAGTAAGCTCTCCAGTGACTCGTCAGTACATGTCCACTACTAAGTCCTAAAATATAAAAAGGGACTGATGGGTAAGTCTATTTGAATAGTTTGCTACCAGATCAAGGGTCCCAAATTGGTATCCCATGAACCGAATTTTCCAGGAAACTTGTTTGATTTGTCTAGTGTGGTGGTTTTAAAAACACCAGACTGACACACAAGTCTCCAGTTCACCATGTCCCTCCACTCCCTACTGCAAAGCACCCTGAGAACTTCCCTTCGGATCAGTGCAGGCACCCTTAGGCATTCGAGTTTGCACCTGCTCTGGCCTAGGTCCTATAACTAGCTAATATTTGCATAGCATGGCTTAGGTTTCCACATTTAAAGCAAGGCACTGAATAAAAAACATGAGCTTCAAAATCAGACAGATCTGGGTTCAAGTCCTGATTTGCCTACATACTAGCTGTATTCTTACCTCTCCTCTCTGATCCTCAGTTTCCATATCTGTAAAATACACACTTGCAAGGTCATTGTATAGATTAAAAATAATATATACAAAGCACCCAGGAGGAAGTAGGAACTCACTAAATAGAGTTATCAGCAGGCGTATAATAGCAGCGATTGCAGAAATCCAGTGCAGACATTGGGATTATTACAATTATCCTCATTTTCTAAGAAATCGAGGCCCTGAGAGGTGAAAACCTTCCCCAGTGTTGCACAGTGGTGGAATGGGGACTCAGAGCCATGTCCCCTAGCTCTAGACGTACATCATTCACTTAAACCTGTGAGGGTAGAAGTGTTTGACATCGGTCTCCCCCAGTATGGTAGCCAAGAGCCACAGGTGGCTACTAAGCCTGGAAATGGAGCAGTGCCTATGCGAGAAAAAATGAGTGCAAAGTAGCTCGTGAACTTTTTATGTTAACGATGTGTGGAAATGATACCATTTTGGAAATACTGGGTTAAAATATGTAATCAAAATAAATCTCACCCGCATTTTCTTTTTCTTTTTTTTTTGTGGAGAGGTTTTTGCTATCGGGTGAGTGTGCTCACCAGTGGCTACCAGCAAAACTTCTGGCACTTGCATGGCTCATATTGTGTTTCACAGTGGGTTCTAGAACTTTTCCAACAGACCACCTGATTCAAGGAACTTAATATTGGGTTGTCAGAAAAGTCATGACGTATTTTTCGTTTTTTATGCAAAAATGCATCATGACTTTTCCCCCCACCCAAAAATTTTTTTTTTTTTTGGAGAGGTTTTTGCTATAGGGCACATGTGCTCACCAGAAAGACAGAGAGAGACAGAGAGACAGAAAGCAAGAAATCACCCCCCAGGGGGGATGGCTACGCCGCAATCCCTTCTCCTCCATTCTCCTTTCGGGATCTTGGGCACGCACGCACACGCGCCTGGCATAAGTTTTAAGCCACTGGGTCCAGGACCCAAACCACGGTTGACTATCTGGGAGTCCAGCGATATAGCCATCATGCCGACTGCTGGTCCCACACAACCTGAGAAGCATTTTTCCTTTTTTTTTTTTTTTGGAGAGATTTTCGCTATAGGGCACGTGCGCTCGCCAGACAGACATAGAGAGACATAGAGACAGAAAGTGAGAAATCACCCCCCAGGGGGGATGGCTACGCCGCAATCCCTTCTCCTCCATTCTCCTTTCGGGATCTTGGGCACGCACGCACACGCGCCTGGCATAAGTTTTAAGCCACTGGGTCCGGGACACGAACCGCGGTTGACTACGTGGGAGTCCAGCGACATAACCATTACGCTAACTGCTAATTCCCCTGAGAAGCTTTTAAAAAGTACTTGCAACCTACTACCCCTCAGCAAGGAGCCTTCTCTTAAATAAGGACAGCGGAAAAATGAACATGCCCACTGGAAAGAGATCTCAGGGCCCTACCCTGACCTCAAAGACTCCTGAGGCCCGAGGGGGTGGGGCTTGCTCTGGTCTCAGAGGTCAGGAGCAGAACTGGAACCAAGCCCAACACTCTGCAGCCATTTGTTCCACCATTCAAGAGTATCTACCGGGATTTGCAAATCAGAGCTTTTACTTTGGAAAATGGAACCCTGGGACAACACCAGTTGGAGTCTGATGCCATGATCTGGAGAAGGCAGGATCTTCTGGGAGGGTCTGCTGATGGAGCACAACCTTGGGCCACTGCCTGGAGCCTACTGGAGTGGAGAAGCTGCCATAGGCACCTTGGGCTGTGTTACTTGGAAGGGTGACTTTTGTTGTAGATTAGGAAGTCTGAGATGTCGTGCCACACGTTGCTGTCCTCATAGAGATACGTCATGGAAGACTGCAGCGAGGGCTGCAGCGTGGATCGGTGATACTCAAAGAGCCACAGCACCAGCCCCCACAACACCCCGGTGAATACCCGGAATGAATCTCGCTTGGGTTCAGGGATGTAACCCTTCTCTATGCCCAGACGGCACAAGGCAAAGAGGACACGTGACAGCAGGTACATGCTGATCTGCAGAGGGAATGACAAAGATTAGTGGTAGACACAGCTGCTAAAACTCTCTTCCCACCTACCCCTGGGCACTGGGCACCTAGTGTGCGCTGGATCAGTGTTTTCCTTTCCTTTCCTTTCCTTCCCTCTCCCTTTCCTTTTCTTTTTCTTTTTCTCTCCCTTCCTTCCTTCCTTCTTTCCTTCCTTCCTTCCTTTCTCTCTCTCTCTTTCTTTTTTGTATAGTGGGCACATGGGCTCACCAGAGAGACACAGAGAAGGAGAAGAAAGCACCCCTCCACTCCATGGGGAATGGCCACACCACAATCCCTTCTCCTCCATTCTCCTTTTAGGATTTTGGACACACGTGCATACCCACCTGGCGTGTTTCTCAAGCCTCTAGGTCAGGGATTTTGAACCATGCGATTGCCCATGTGGGATTAGGCTGCCCCAACCACCACGCCATGGAGCTGGCCCTGGATGGGTGTTTTTCAAAGTTCATGGGCAAGATCATTTGAAGTGGTATGTAGCAGACATTTTTTTATATAATTTATTTAACTTTATTTATTTATTTATTTTTAATTTGACCAGAGAGAGACAGAGTGAGTGAGATAAAAAGAGAGAGAGAGAAAGTGAGAAAGCAAACTGCCAGGTCCAGGATTTGAACCGTGGTTGGCCATGTGGGAGTCCAGCAGCCTTAACCACCATGACACCTACCAGCCCCTGTAGTAGATATTTTAATAGCACTATTTAGGCCTTTCATTTATTATTTTTTATTCAAAATTTGAAAAAACTGAATACTTTTATGGGTTTCAAAACCAAAAGGTAACTTGACACCAAAAGCATGACGTACAAAAGGAAAAACTGATAAATTGAGCGTCATCAAACTTTAAGTTTTTCTCTGTGAAATCTAGTGTGTGGAAATAAAACACACACACACACACACACGAGAAGCTATTTACAACATACGCTTGGTCAAATTAAAATAAAGGAATGAATAAATAAAATAAATATTTGTTTTAAAAAAAGAAATATGGATGTTTTAATTCATTTAATAGATATGAAGAAACTTTTTTTTTCTTTTTTTGAGAGATTTTTTTGCTATAGAGTGTGTTGGCTTGCCAGAGAGACAGAAAGAGGCAGAGAGACAGAAAACGAGAAATCACCCCCTGGGGGATGGCCATGCCACAATCCCTTCTCCTCCATTCTCCTCTCAGGATCTTGGTCATGTACACACACGTGCCCAGCGTGAGTTAAGTCACTGGGTCTGAGAGTCCAGCAACGTAGTAGCCATTACACTATCTGCTGGTCTCTGAAGAACCTTGTTTTAATTAATCATTTTATCTAACTTTATTTGTTGTTTTTTATTTTATTTTATTTTAATTTGACCAGAGAGGGAGAAAGCGAGAGAGAGAGAGAGAGAGAGAAAGCAACCCACCAGGTCCAGGACCTGAACCACAGTTGGCCATGTGGGAGTCCAGTGCTCTTAACTACCATACCACCTGCTAGCCCCAATATGAAGAACATTAGAGGTGTGGTCACAATCTCTGAAAAACAGATCAAACTCTTAAACTCATTGCATTCTAGATATGTTTGTAAATAAACTTATTACCTGAAAAAAAATTCTCAAAACTCAACAGTATAAAAAGAAACAATCCTGGGGACGATCAGATGGCATAATGGCTAGATCGCTGGATTCCCATGTAGTTGATGGGGGTTTGAGTCCCAGACCCAGTGGCTTAAACTCATGCTGGGTGCATGTGTATGCATGCGCAAGATCCGGAGAGGGGAATGAAGGAGAAGTGATTGCGGCGTGATTGTGGCGTGGCCATCCCCCCTGGGGGGGTGATTTCTTGCTTTCTGTCTCTCTGTCTCTCTGTGTCTTTCTGGCAAGCGCACGTGCCCTATACCAAAAACCTCTCAAAAAAAAAAAATTACCATTGATTTTTATCATTCATCATCATTTCATAAAAAAGGGAATTCTAACCCACAAAATGAGCAAGTCACACACAGAGTAAGAGACAATTTTTAACCGTAGTAAGTTTTGTTTTATAAATACCTTTCTTCAGGGTTACTTCTCCCTTCATTTCACTGCTGTGTTTGGTTTTGTTTTTAAATCTTTGCCCCAGAGAGTAACAGGCACATAGATTTGGAGAACACTAGGATTCTAATTACAGGCTGCTTGGTTTACAGATGGGGAAACCGGGGAAGGGGGTGTCCTTCCCAAGCTCACACAGGGACTGATGAATCACAGACCTCAGGCATGCAAGGGACCCAAGAGCTCATCTCCTTCAATCTCCACCCCAGCTCTATACAGGAACCACACGCTGCCCCCTAGTTCCAGAAATCTTATGGGAGAAGCCTTACCTGGCTGTTGATGTTATTGTTTTCTCCAAAGATCAGGAAGCCCCCGATGAAGGCAGCCAGGAATGGGTGCACCTGGTTGGTCTTGCCCTGCACATGGGACTGCAGGGCATAGAGGCCCTTGTAGGTGAACACAAAGTAGGCCAGGTTCCGCGAGTGAGTGTACGTGGCCTGCAGGATAGCACGCAGCTTCTCCTGGAGGCTACACAAACACAGGGAGACCCCATGAACACAGGCCCCTGTACCTATAATCCCAACAACTCAGGGAGGTTGAGGCAGAAGCATCGTGAGCTCCAGCTCATGGCTACATGGTGTGGAATGGTGGCGGGTTCTGTGTGCCAAGGGAACCTCGGGGTGGACACAGAAGGGATACAGCTGGGGCCTTGCTACAGAGGCCCTGAAGGCCAGTTTTGGAAGTGGGCCTCTTTGTAGGACAGTGGGAGTACTCAAGCAAGGACAATAGGATCAGAGTTGGACTTTAGGAGGTGTGGCAGGAGGACAGGCTAGGTCCAGCTGGGAAGCTACTACAACTATCCTGGCACTGAGAGCTGACCACATGTCCTCCTAGTTTGAATGATATCCAGAGAGGGTGGGTACCTGCCGCTCCGGAAGAGAAAGGTCATGACCAGCGCATGGGGGGCCCGGATTTTGACTCCATAGCTATAGAAACAGAAGAAAACAGTTACTATGGTAGCACTGTGTGTGAATCACAGCTTCTTTCTGGGCTATTCCCTATATTTGGCTCCTCAGGACCAGCAGATGGCGTAATGGTTATGTCGCTGGACTCCCATTCGCATCCCAGACTCGGCAGCTTAAAACTCATACTAGGTGCGTGTGCGTGTGTGCCCAAAATTCCAAGAGAAGAATGGAGGAGAAGGGATTGTGGCATGGCCATCCCCCTGGGGGGGTGATTTCTTGCTTTCTGTTTCTCTGTCTCTCTGTTTTTCTGGTGAGCGTAGGCATCCTATAGCAAAAACCTCTCCAAAAAAATTTTAAAAATAAATAAAAAAAGAATGGAGGAGAAGGGATTGCAACACGGCCATCTCCCCAGGGGATGACTTCCCGCTTTCTGTCTGTTTTTCTGGCAAGTGCACGTACCCTATAGTAAAGATCGTTCTCAAAATAAATAAATAAATGATATTTGGCTCCTCTCCCCATGCCTAATACCCTCATCCCTAATTCATTTTTTGTTATTTAACTGTCAGAAAAATCATGACACATTTTTGCATAGAAAAATACATCATGACTCTTCTGATGACAATCTAATAATATTAAAGTCCCAGGGACCCACCTTTAGTGCTATTCTTTTCACCCATGGGCCTGCCTTGCTGAGCTCCACATTATACTGCAGGGCCTCTGTCCGGCTCCACCCCCACCCCAATTCTTTTCTTTTCGTTTTTTTAGAGAATGATTTTTGTTATAGAGTACATGCACTCGCTAGAGAGACAGAAAGTGAGAAATCACCCCCCAGAGGGGATGACCATGCTGCAATCCCTTCTCTTCCGTTCTCTTCTTGGGATTTTGGGCACGCACGTGCCAAGTTTTATTTTAAGCCACTGGGTCCAGAATTCAAACCATGGTCAACTACTTGGGAGTCCAGTGATGTAACCATTATGCCATCAGCTGGTGTTCCATCCCTAATTCTTTCTCTTTTTTTGAGAGATTTTTGCTATAGGGCACATGCATTTGCCAGAAAGACAGAGAGAGAGACAGAGAGACAGAAAGTGAGAAATCACTCCCCCAGGAGGGATGGCCACCATGCCTTCCCCTCTATTTTCCTCTCGGGGTTTTGGGCACTCATGCACACAGGCCCAGCATGAGTTTAAGCTGCCAGGTCCGGGTCGTGAACCATGGTCAACTACATGGGAGTCCAGTGACATAACCATTATACCATCTGCTGGTCTCTCCCATCCCTATTTCTTTTTCTTTTAAAGAATTATTTATTTGAGAACCAGCAGTTAGCGTAATGGCTATGTCGCTGGACTCCCACGTAGTCGACCGCAGTTCGCGTCCCGGACCCGGTGGCTTAAAACTCACGCTGGGCGTGTCTGCATGCGTGCCCAAGATCCCGAGAGGAGAATGGAGGAGAAGGGATTGTGGTGTGACCATCCCCCCTGGGGGGTGATTTCTCGCTTTCTGTCTCTATGTCTCAAAAAAAAACCGGTGAGCGCACATGCCCTATAACGAAAAACCTCTCCAAAAAAAAAAAAAAAGAATTATTTATTTAAATTTATTTATTCATTTTTATTTTATTTTATTTTGATCAGACACACACACACATGCATGCATGCAGAGAGAGAGAGAGAGAGAGAGAAAATGAGAAAGCAAGCCTCCAGGCCTGGGACTTGAACTGTGGTTGGCCATTTAGGAGTGTCCAGCACCTTAACCACCACACAACCTGCTGGTCCCCTCCATCCCTATTTCTAATACCACTTTGGGAGGAGAAATAATTCTCGCTCTTCAGGTAGATCTAGGTTCAAATCCTAGCCCTGACATTTTGATATTATGGGCTTGTCATTATTTTCTTTTTTAAAAAAGATTTATTTATTTA